GTCCTAAGAAGCGAGCTCAATGGCAAGAATAAGACCCGGGCAATAAACAGCTATGCCCTGCCAGTGATCAGATACCCTGCAGGAATAATAAGGTGGCCAAAGGAAGAGATTCAGACCACGGATGTTAAGACCCGAAAGCTCCTAACCATGCATGGAGGGTTCCATCCCAAATCCAGCACCCTGAGACTGTACGCAAGCCGAAAGGAAGGAGGCCGGGGACGAGTGAGTGTGAGAGCCACTGTCCAGGATGAAACATCCAAGCTCCATGAATACATCAAGGAGAAGGCTCCAACGGATGATGTACTCAGAGAATGTCTCAGACAATGGGGAACAGAGGACGAGGTGCTGGAAGAGGGACCATCATGGGAGGACAAGCCCCTACACGGGATGTACCACCGGACCATAACTGAAGTGGCTGATCTCAAGAAGTCCTATCAGTGGCTAGAGAGGGTTGGCCTGAAGGACACTTTTATCCTGTCTGGAGGAAATCAGGACCTGGATGGCATTGAATTATTTGATTTCCAATGAAAAGAAAACACATGTGATGGTGTTTGGTCCTGCTGACGTGGGGCTCCTGACTCTTGATCTAAAGCTAATAGTCTCCAACTTAGGTCTGAAACTGGACCGTGATTTTAAATTGGACTGGCAAATTGGTGCTGTTGTTAAACTTAGCTGCCTTCATCTTCGGAAGCCAGCTAAAGTAAAGCCTCTCCTTTATCAATCGCACTTTAAAACAGTTATTCGCAGCTTTGTCACATCTTGGCTGGATACCTGTAATGCACTTTATTTTGGATTCCACCAGTCTTCCACCAAGCATCTCTGATTGGTCCAAAATGCTTCTGCTTGCCTCCTGACCAAAACTCATAAGAGAAAGCACATAACTCCTACATTGGTATCCCTTCAGGGGCTCCCTGTAAATTTTAGACTTCTTCTTAAAATTCTATGATCATTAATTTATTAATTTTCAAATGGCTTATCCTGAACAGGATCGCGGGGGATGCAAGAGCCTACCCCAGCTGACTTCAGGTGGAAGACAGACTCCAGACTGAACTGGTCGCCAGTCAGTCGCAGCACAAATAGAGATAAACATATATTCACAGCCAAATCCACACGGTCACTGAGTGGGAAGAGTTCACACACTGCCAGCACCACACAAGTCAGGCAAGTGTACCACTACATCACAAGGGATTTAAGAATATTGTTTGTTTTTCAATCTTCAAATGGCCCTGTCCCAGCATACCTCTCTCCTCCACCCCAACGCACCTGCCTGGCGCCTCAGTTCTGCAGACCAGACACTTTTAGTGGTACTGAGAATGAAGCGCAGGCTCGGAGAGGATAGAGCCCTTTTTATTCCTTCTTTGGAATAACCTCTCGCTAAACATTAGACAAGCCTCCTCACAACCCATCTTTAAAACGCGTCTTAACTCATTTTTATTCTTTGGGTTTTGACTCAGCATAGAACTTGATTTTAGTTTTATTGTTTTTGTGATTTTTATTGTCTTATTAATTCATTTTTTTATTGTTTATTGATTTATGAATTATTTTCCTCAATTTACAGAACGTTGTATACAATGGTTGTTTTAAGGTGCTCTATGAATTCAGTTCAACTGAGTTGAGTTTGTTGAAAATAACTGATGAATTACAATTTAAAAGCAAAGACTGATTTTATTGTTTCATTTTCATTACGATTGATTGAATACTCATATGTCTTTCTTTCTTTTATTTAGTTTATTTTTCTTTCATTAACAGAGTGGTAACAACAATTTTATCCATGTGTGTTACACCTGTAAAGGTATTATTTTAATGCAGTTAGACTGTCATCATGTTGTGGCAGATGCTGGTTGGTATATATGAGCTTTTCAACTCAAAACAAATGCAAGACTGGGTTCAAATTGCATCATACTGTACTTTGATACTACATGACTTACTCGTTGGGAATCTCCTGTTCCTGCCTATGTTGTGGCAAAATCTGGGATTCTGCCGTCTCCACCATGTCGTGAACAGACGCAAAGCTGTTTGTGTCAGCTCCTGGATTGTCATCCCAAAACCTGTAGAAAAAGAAAACAAACAAACAACAACAAAAAAAAAAAAACAATGAGCATGCACAGGAATTGTAAAAACTTTTTTTTGCCACACACAGTTTAGCGGAAAATACAAAAAGTCACAAAAATACATAAATAAACATTTGTGACAATATTGTTAAAGAACCCTGTAAAATGAATACAGAGATTTGTGTTGTAAATACCTTACACTGTACATGTTTCAAAACGTAAGGAGTATTAGACTCTGCAAGCCTGAAACACCATGTACACAGGACCCATACACAGACTAGTGTATGCATGAAAATTTCAGCACTCCAATGGAAAGCAAATGCTGGGAAGATGCTAATGCTCGTTTTTTCATCTCTGTAGACAACAAGACATTGAGTCTTACAAGAAAGACCTGACTGCTCCTCAAGTCAATGCTGAAAGGACTTATTTGTTCATTTATTTTTATATACCGTATTTTCCGCACTAAAATGTGTACTGGATTATGAGGCGCACCTTCTGTCATGATTCGGTTTGGGACCAACAGGTGGCACTGTAGGGCTCTCCCTGCAGCTGCACACCTGTTGGTCATTAGTTAATTAGTGGCTTTAAAAGGACTCCCACCCCGAACAATCTTGGTCGGGTCATTGTTGCTTTGTGCTACTGTCATGTTTGTTGCTGTTTGCTGTCATGTTTGTTTCAGTCAGGTTTTGGTCATTGTTATGTTTTATCTTCGGTCATGTGTTTTGTTTGATACTTTGGACTTTGTTTGCTTTGGATTTAGTTTTCTCTGTTTTAATACAATCTTTCAAGTACACCCTGCTCCTCCCTCCTGCCTGCTTTTTCGGGTCCACCACCACCTCGCTACGTGACACCTTCAATGAATGGCTATTATTTTTTTTTTTCATACATTGGGCGCATCGCATTATAAGTCGCAATCTACAATGCCTCCACTAGATGAAGCCACACTCCTTCCGTTCAACTCGAAAGGTCTTCCGTTCAACTCTGGAAAAAAAAGTAAATGAACTATTACGTCAATGAAACAACAAACATTGAAAATTATGCAATAAAAGAGAAAATCAAGCGAAGAAATCACAAAATAAATTCTGTAGGGGTGGGATATAGAATTTATTTTGTGATTTCCTCGGTTCTTGCTTGGCTCTCGACGAAGGCAGACGCTTTTGCTTTCTGCTCTTTTCCTCCACCGCCACCCTTCCCTGCTCGCCACTCAATCCATGTGCTGTCTTTGTCTGACTTTTCCTAGCCTCCTGTCGAATTTTCATCCTAAAAACAAACATGGAATTGGTTGGCTGGTCTCTCAATGCCATCGACAAAATTTTCTTGATGAGAAGAGCAGGCAGTGGGGAGCCTACTTGCCCCTTGGGGACTTTTGATGCTGGGTACACCCCTAGATCCCTGGAGGAACCGTAGAATGGTGTGCCTGTCAACACTGTCCGTTGAGGATATGGATGACATCTACATGATCAGCCTTCTGATAACAGGTATGCTGCTGTTTGGTGTGAGCAGTTTCCTGATCTATCGCAGAATTCAACCGACGGGAGCGGCTCTATTGGAAGTGAAGAGGCTGCTGGTCTAAGGATGGCATAGTGCGGATGTCCAGCACTCAGACTCAGACTGTGCTCAACCACAAACTGTTGCGGTTTTGGAGCGTCTCTGTAAGATGGACAACAACTTGGAGAAACTGTAATCCGTGCTCAAATATTGAAAGAAATCGTGGATTTGGCTGATCTATGTCACTTAAGAGACAAAAGCCACGGACTCAAGGCTGTCTTAAATTGTTGGGCAGCCTGCTACCAAAACAACATCTGCTATCTCGACCTTCCCTGATGAAAGTACGCATGGAAGCTAGTCCCCCACCATCAGCCCCTCCTTCTCGGCTATAGACTCATATGGCAGGACTGTCTCCACGAGAAGAAATTGACGTACTACCTGCGGCGTGACACGCACACACAACCAGACAATCACTCGCGCATATACTCCCTTGTATCACCGCCTTTGTTTGTGTCTTGTGACCTGTTGGAACTGTCATGCCCTTGTGCAGGTTTTTTTTTGCCTCACTCAAATTATCCTCAAAATGAGGATAGTTCAAGCGTGTTTTTTTTCTCCCCCTCACCCTCCGTTGTGGTTTCTTTCTGACTTCCGGGCTGAGTGAACGCTGGCGCATTTGGCTGCTGCTGCTCAACCCGTATTGTTTTTTATTGTTTTTGTTATTGTAAAGTGTCCTTGGGTGTCTTGAAAGGCACTTATAAATAAAATGTATTATTATTCTTCTTTTTCTTATTATTGTTTTGTTTTATTGTTTCATTTATTGTTTCATTGAAGTAATCATGAATTACTGCAGCCCAGACCTGGAGTCACTGTCTTTAAACTGCAAGCCATTGTACTCGCCACGTGAGTTCACCTCCTTTTTACTAGTCGGTGTTTACATTGTGCCACAAGCTAACGCTAACACGGCGATACAAACGCTAGCTGAACAAGTAAACAAACTCGAACTAAAATACCCAGAGTCACCGCTGATCATTTTGGGCGGTTTTAATAGAGCACATCTTAACCGTGAACTTCCCAGATATAAGCAGCACATCGACTGTTTCGCCAGAGAAGGCAATATTCTAGACCACTGCTATACAACAATCAAAAATTCCTACCGATCGATCGCCCGCGCAGCATTGGGTCTTTCTGGCCACAATTGAATACACTTGATACCTACATACAGACAGAAACTCAAATGTGTTAAACCAGTTGTTAAGACTGTGAAAAAATGGACAGATGAAGCAAAGCTAGGTCTACAAGAATGCTTAGACTGCACTGATTGGGGTGTCTTTGAAACTTCATTGTGCACACTGGATGAATACACAGACACTGTAACATCATATATCAGTTTCTGTGAGGACATCTGTGTACCAATGAAGTCCTTCAGCTCCTTCAACAATAACAAGCCATGGTTCACTCCCAAACTCAGGCAACTCAGGAAAGAGAAAGAGGCCGCATTTAGAAGTGGAGATCGGGCACTGTACAAACGCGCCCGAAACCAATTGACAAAGGAAATTAACATTGCTAAGAGAAGCTATGCAGAGAGGCTGAAAAAACAGTTCTCTGCGAATGACTCTACATCTCTGTGGAATGGCCTGAAAGCAATCACAAACTATAGAATGCCATCCCCCAAACAGTGAACAATAAGGATCTTGCTGATGAACTCAACATGTTTTTCTGACTATTTGAAAAGGACCCCTCCATTTCCCACATACACCCACCTCTACCAGAAACTACTCTATCTAACCCCCGACCCTCATTTTCTCCCCTACAGATCCACGAACAGGACGTGAGACGGCTCTTCAAGCAGCAGAAGATCAAGAAAGCTGCGGGGCCCGACATAGTGTCCCCCTCCTGCCTGAAAGTCTGCGCTGACCAGCTGGCTCCGGTCTTCACACAAATCTTCAACAGAATGTCACCGGACCCCTGCTGAAGCCTTTTCAGTTTGCCTACCGGGCAAACAGGTCTGTGGAGGACGCAGTCAACATAGGTCTGCACCACATCCTTCAGCACCTCTACAGCACAGGGACCTACGCAAGGAACCTGTTTGTGGATTTCAGCTCTGCGTTCAAGACCATCATCCCGGAACTCCTCACCCCAAAACTTCTCCAGCTCGGTGTGTCCCCTACGATCTGCCAGTGGATCCTCAGCTTCCTGACGGGACGGACACAACAGGTGAGACTGGGAAGAACAACATCATCAACATGCACCACTAGCACTGGAGCCCCACAGGGATGTGTCCTGTCTCCATTGCTCTTCTCCCTCTACACAAACGGTTGCACCTCAACAAGTCCAGCTGTCAAACTCATAAAGTTCGCAGACGACACCACGGTCATCGGTCTCATCAAAGACGCCGACGAGTCTGCGTACCGACAACAAGTGGAGCAGCTGGAGCTCTAGTGCAACCGACACAACCTTGGGCTGAACACGCTCAAGACTGTAGAGATGATCGTGGACTTCAGGAAACATCCTCCACCACAGTTGCCCCTCACACTATCCAACTGCCCTGTGTCCACCGTCGAGACCTTCAAGTTACTGGGAATCACAGTCTCCCAGGACATGAAGTGGGAGGTCAACACCAACTCCATCCTGAAAAGGGCCCAGCAGAGGATGCACTTCCTGAGGCTGCTGAGGAAGCATGGCTTGCTACAGGAGGTGCTACGTCAATTCTCCACGGCAGTCATCGAATCAATCCTGTGTTCTTCCATCACGGTTTAGTTTGGGACCGCCACAAAAAAAGGACAAAATCCGACTTCAACGGACAGTTAGGAGGGCGCAAAAAATCAGTGGCATCGCCATACCCACTCTTGAGGACTTACACACTGCAAGAATCAAAACAAGGGCACAGAAAATCCTACTGGATCCACCGCACCATGCCCACCACCTTTTCCGGCTACTCCCCTCAGGCAGGCGCTACAGATCCATGCGCACCAAATCCAGTAGACACTTAAACAGCTTCTTCCCTCTAGCCATTAACTCCCAAAACAGTCACTGACGTATACTCCACCAGACACTTTAAAGCGCTCAAGGACATCTACACAATTGCACATTTCTTGTACAACAAATACTGCCACTGGTCACTTTAAAATGGTTCAATGATTTTCTGCGCCAACTGTACAACTGTCATAGTATGGTATTCTACCACTGATCACTTTTGCTCTGCTTGATACTTTGCACATCGTCTCACAGTTCTCACTGGGTGGTAACACCGCACTACGGTTCACTTACATTACGAAATGTCCTTCCACACTTATTTGTCATGTCCTTGTTTATGATGATTTTTTTTTCTTTCCAAGATGGCGCCTGAGTAGGCAGCCTTCAGCAAGTGCTCTTCAAGAGCCTTGCTTTTTTGTTGTTTTTTGTTGTTTTTGTCTTTTTGTTTTGTCACATTTTTGTTGTTTCGTCGTGTGGACCTGATGTGGACTGTTATCAGCGTTTTTTGGCCACAACATTCGTCAAAGGAGAAGAATCTTTGCTTGGTGGTTGCACCTTCTCGGCAGCATGCCTGTACCAGCACAGATTTTGATTGGGAGGAATGACGGCGCCATTGACTGTAGGTGCTGGACAGCCCCGGGGCGCTTGTGGTTTTTGCGCCTGTAATGGGCAGCATTTTTCACAGCACCGTTTTGTTCAGTGGAGATGTCGGCGCTGTTGGACAGTCTGCATTGATGCGGCTAGATGGATGGCTGCTGAAGTTGAGGATGAGGAGAGAGGAGCGTCGGTGCGGAGCGCCGATGCGTATTTGGAACTGAGAGTCACCGCTTGGAATTGGAATGGATTTACATGGGACAGGAGAAGTGAACCAATCTCTTTTTTCGTCAATGGATGCAACAGCTTCTTGGTGACTTTGAAACTTAGCTTGTAGCCAACGTGTGCACATTTTGAGCATGACATCTCTGATCCACTGGTGAAAGGACACTTTTTCATCTCAAACTGCTTTAAACAATAAAGCGTAAGAGGGGAAAAGTGGTTAGGACTGCACGACTGTCCGTGTTTTATGTTATGTGTTGTGTTCATTATTTTACTTTATGTTTGTGTTTTATGCTGTGTGTTGTGTTTATTTTTTTACTTCATGTTAACTGTTTTGTTAAGCACTTTGTTACAGCTGCCGCTGTTGTGAAAGTGCGATATAAATCAGCATGTATTGTATTGTATGATACTCATGCAGCGTGTTATACCGGAGACAAATTCCTTGTGTGTTCTACATACTTGGCCAATAAAGATGATTCTGATTCTGAATTTACGTTTTTCGGAGGCGGCCATTAACGCCTCTCGAGTGGAAGGGAAGAAGAGAAGAAGAGAAGGCACGGAGACGGACAAAGACATACCTGTATTTGTTGAAAAAAGGAGAGCTGTGGTGTTTTTTAAACGCAGACTTTATTAATGATTATCACAGTCTCAACAAATACAGCTACTGTATGTCTTTGTCCGTCTCCGTGCCTTCTCTTCTTCCCTTCCACTCGAGAGGCGTTCATGACCGCCTCCGAAAAATGAATTGGCATTTCCTTGAGCGTAGCACCAACAGAACGATCAGTTGTCAGTCGTGTTTGTTATTTATTCCTTTGTGTATTCACAAATGATGAAATCACAATATAAATTCAGTCGGGGGGGCTATAGAATTTATTTTCTCATTTCCTTGCTTGAGTTTCTGTTTTGATACATTATTTTCAATTTTCGTAGTTTCATTGAAGGAATAGTTAATTTTTTTAGGCGGTCATGAACGCCTCTCGAGTGGAACGGAAGAAGAGATGGCACGGAGACTGACAAAGACATACCTGTATTTGTTGAGACTGTGAAAACCATTAATAAAGAGTGCGTTGTAAAAAAAAAAACAACACCGCAGATCTCCTTTTTTCAGAGCTGCAACAAAAACAGAATGGTTAACCAAAGGGCGAACAATTCTGATCATGAAGGATCCCTCAAAGGGTATAGTCCCATCCAACTATCGGCCAATAACCTGTCTCTCCACACCATGGAAGCTCATGTCAGGCATCATTGCAGCTAAGTCGACACATGGATCAATACATGAGAAAAGCACAGAAGGGCATTGGAAGAGATACCAGAGGAGCCAAACATCAGCTCCTGGATTGATTACAAGAAAGCCTATGACTCGATGCCGCATACATGGGTCACTGAATGCTTGGATTTGTATAAGGTGAACAGGCGCCTAGGAGCCTTCGTTGCGAACTCGTTGAAGATGTGGAAAATCCTACTTGAACCAATCGGTCAACCTACATAGAGTTGTCAACGTTGCCAACTTCGTTCGAATAGGGATTGCTGATGTCGGGGCTAAATACTTGAATCCTGGGCGGTGTTGATGATCTTGTGGTATCATCTGGAAAAAAATCAAAGAAAAAAAATTGACAATTATGATAGAATGACACATTTTACATCATGCTAGCAAATGCTCTAATTTTATCAATGTGTGCTGATAAAAATTTTAACCGGTTGCACAGCGCAAGGGCATGTTTTAATTCTCCCATGGGCAAATACAGCTCCAGGCACTCCAATTCGGTGTCCCTCTTTCAGATTGCACATAAAAGGCGAAATGTGCATTAGTTTAAATCCTGATTCGCTGGGGCAACCTTTGAAGGGAAAAGCCGAAATTCAGAAGCGGACATTTCTACCTTGGGCCATGTGAGAGTGCCCGTGGATGATCCCAGTGTGTTACCAGCTGGTCAAACTGCTGTTGTTGATGGGCTTTTCCATACGAGTTGTGTTCACCAAAGGAAATGGGTCACGGTGGAGGTTTTCGTGGAGGCCCCTCTGTAGTCTGCCTCTCTTATGAAGTAAAATACTGAATCTGACTGAGTGATGAGACTCTATTCACCACCCTTCCAAGGCCCATTCATTCACATGATGTGGTCAGGAAGCAAAACACCTCAGGAATTATTGGACTCAGGCATCATCATTTTTTTTTCAAGATGGCGCCCGGATAGGCAGCCATCGGCAAGTGCTCTTCAAGATCCTTGCGTTTTTTGTTGTTTTTGTCTTGTTTTGTCACATGGTGTTGTTGTAACGTTGTGTGGACCTGATGTGGACTTTTTTCAGCATTTTTGGCCATGGCATTCGTCAAAGAAGAATCTGTGCTTAGTGGTTGTGCCTTCTCGGCAGCACACGCGTACCAGCACTGATTTCTTGATTGGGAGGAATGTCGGCGCCATTTGACTGTCGTTGCTAGACATCCCCGGGGCGCTTGTGTCTTGCGCCTGAGGTAGGCAGCATTTTCACAGCCCCGCTTTGTTCAGCGAAAAGGTCGGTGCTGATGGACAGTCTGCAGCTGGATGGATGAATGGATTGAGGAGCCGACGATGAGAAAAAAGGAGTGGAACTGGGAAAGATGTGGAACTGGGAGTCGCGACTTGGAATTGAAGCAGACTGACATGGGACAGGAGAAGAGAGCCAATCTCTTTTTCGTAAATAGATGCTACAGCTTCTTGTTGCTTTCAAGCTTAGCTTGTCACAGACGTGTGCACATTGCAGCATGACGTCTTTGATCCACTGGTGAAAAGGACACTTAGATTCGCTCCTCTTTCATCTATAACTGCTTCAGACAACAAAGTGTATGCAGGAAAGTGGTTAAGAGTGCACGATTGTCTGTGTCTCATTATTTTGTCATTTTTTGTTAACTTCTTTTGATGGCGGCGCGGACACCCGCAGCGGCTCCTCTTGTTTCATGTTGAGAGGGAAGAAATTTCATCTGTGCTGTATGTTACACATACAGTACATTTGACAATAAAGTTTATCCAATCCAATCTAATCCAATCAGAGAGTCGGTCTCTCCATTCATTTTGCCCATGGTTTTACTGAAAAAAGAATGGTGCCACAAGGATTTGCATTGATTCCAGGAAGTTAAACTCACAAACCATGAAACATGCCTACACTCTGCCAACTCTGGAAGTCACATTCTCAGTATGTGAAAGATCCCAAAAGTCAGTTGACGTGGCGAATGCTTCAAAAACTGCTGAACAAAACAAAGTTAGGTTAGACAGAAAGATTTTTGGGATTCAACACTGGTGTTGGAATGATCATGTTTTTGTGAGGATGAATTCGCTAATTACAGACACACTTTTCATTGAGGAAAGAAAGCCAAGAGACTCTGAGGTAGGCTCTCTATTCTGTGGGGCTGAAGTAGCTGAGGTGGTTACTAAGATCCTTTGTGGCAAATCCGAGAGTTCCTAAAGGCTCTGGATGTTGTGATTCAGATTCTCAGATTCAGGAAGAGGAGTATGGTTTTCGTCTCGGAAATGAAACAGTACGCCACCTGTACACCCACAGCAAGGTCCTTGAATGGGCATTGAAGTTCGTCCAACCAGTCTACATGTGTTTTGTGAACTTTGAGAAGGCGTTTGACCGAGTCGCTCTGGGACTTCTGTGGGGTGCGTTTCTGGAGTGTGGCGTACTGAGCTTCCTAAGATGGGCTGTTCAGACCCTGTACCACTGATGTTAGAGGTCGGTCTGTATTGCCGGCAGTAAAACAGATTCATTTCTAGTGACGGTTGGACTCCGCCAAGGCTACCTTTTTTCAGCGATTCTGTGCATTAATCTCATGGAGAAAATTTCTCGGCGCAGCCGAGGCATTGTGGGGGTCCTTTTTGGTAGCATCAGTCTTGCATCTCAAACTGCGATCTTCAACTCTCACTGCAGCGATTCACAGCTCAGTGTGAAATTCTACGCATGAAAATCAGCACCTCCAAATCTGAGGCTATGGTCGGAAGTTGGAAAAGTGGAGTGCCCTCTCCATGTCAGAGATGAGATCCTTCCCCAAGTGGAGGAATTTTAAGTATCTTTGGGTGTTGTTCATGTGTTGAGGGTGGGATGGAGCTTGATACTGACAGGTAGAGATTGGTGCAGCGTCGGCTGCTGCAATGCAGACTCTGTCGGTTTGACATGGTGAAGAACGCGCTCGGATAAAAGGCGAAGTTCTCAATTGACTGGTTGATCTAGGTTCCTACTCTCACACATGGTCACGAGCTGTGGGTTGTGACCAACAGAACATGATTCGGAATACAAGTGGCCAAAATTAGTTTTCTCCAAAGGTTTGTTGGGGCTCTCTCATGGATAGGGCGAGAAGCTCTGTCATAGGACTCGGGAGTTGAGCCGCTACTCCACATTCAGAGGAACTATATGTGTTGGCGCCAGCATCTAATTTGGATGCCTCCTGGATGCCTTCCCTGGTGGGTTATTCCGTGCATGTCCCACTGGCAGGACACCCTGGGCATGACCCAGGACATGCTGAAAAGACTATACCTGCCGGCTGACATGGCAACACCTGGGCATCCTACAGGAAGAGTTGAATGATGTGGGAAAGAGAAGTCTAAGCTTCCCAGCTGAAGTTGTTGCCTCCGTAACACAACCCCGGATCAGCGGTAGAACATTGATGGATGGATTAATTTATCAATGTAAACACAAAAATGTCATATTTACGAACTACCATTGTATGGATTTTGCCAAAGAACAAGCAGGCCCCCAACCATTAACAGAGTTACTCCAGGAGGCTTGTAGTGACTTCACAATGACAAAAGCCTGTTCTGCTTTTATAATCAGAGATGAAAGTGGACTTTTCTGAAAATTCCGGAATATATATATATACACATATATACACACACACACACACACACACACACACACACACACACACACACACACACACGCACACACACTTGGCCGATCACGTATTAATTAGTTTACACAAAACGCTATTCAAATACTCGACATTCAATGATTAATCTTCCATTTGTGTGCACACGTGTACCCTTTGTGGCTTCCGTTCGGGCCGAAATTTCGAAATCTCCAAGATATGGTGAGGCCATGAGAATGCGAGGCGAGGGTATTACTGTTGTGGCGACGCCACTCAAGTGATTACCAGTCAATTAATCTTTGCAGTGTGAGATTGGAAAAAATACTCTGATGATGCCACATAAGTACACCAGTTTTTGATCCATTTATTTTTTGGAATAAACCTGGAGTACACAGCTGCTGATGTAATGTTCAGTCTTAATGCATAGTTTTCAAACATTTACCCATGAAACATTATACTTTTGAGTTTCAGAATTCTTGATGATCAATATCAGTCAAAATAGAAAAATGGGTTCCCATGATGAACGTTTACAGAACCCCAAATTAGTTATCGTGGTTTCCCATTGGGTAAGTGCCTCAATATGGCTACGCTCGTGAAAGCAATACAACGAACTCAAACGCGTCTTCGTTCAATGTTGTCAACTAATATCCGGATTAATTTTATGCAAATTTTCCTCAATTCTCCGGAGAAATTTTCATAAAAATTTGAAAAACCCGGAATTCCGGGAAAATCCGGAGGACTTTCATCTATGTATAATAAGGTTTACAGTATGTCCCACTGAGCAAAAAAGACGCTTTCTCATTAAGGCCGCTTCAATCCTGCCTGGAAGAAGTGAAAACCTGGATGGCACAAAATGTCTTGAATTTCAATGAAAAGAAAAGAAGGCAGAGGTGATAATGTTTGGTCCCAGTGGCCCTTGTACACCCCATCCCGTAGACTTGGGCCCCCTGTCCCCTTAAGTCAACAGTCTCAAACTTGGGTCTTAAACTGGACAGTGATTTCAACCTTGAGTGGCAAATTGGTGCCATTGTTAAATCCAGGTTCTTTCACCTTAGACAGCTGGCCAAAGTACAACCTCTCCTCTCTCATGAGCACTTTGAGACAATAATTCATGCCTTTGTCAGATCCCGGTTCGAATACTGCAATGCCCTTTACCTTGGAGTGAGCCAATCCTCCATTAAGCGCCTCCAGCTGGTCCAGAATGCCGCTGCTCGCCTCTTGACTGGTACTCATAAGAGGGAGCACATAACTCCTACTCTGGCATCTCTTCACTGGCTCGCTATACATTTTAGAGTTATTTTCAAGATCTTATTATTTGTTTACAAATCTCTAATGACCTCGCGCCACCTTACCTCTCTGAGCCCATCCGCCCCTACACACCTGCCCGGCGCCTCAGGTCTGCGGACCAGAGATTATTAGAAGTACCAAAAACTAAACTGAGGCTCAGAGGGGATCGAGCCTTTTCTGTTGCTGGTACCTCTCTCTGGAGCGACCTCCCACTGAACATTCGGCAAGCCTCCTCGCTGCCTATCTTTAAAAGCCGCCTCAAAACTCACTTTGGCATTTGACTCAGCATGACTCAGATTTGTTCTTGGTTTTTGCTGTTTGGTGCTTTCTACCGTCTTTGTTACCGATTTGTTGCTTTACTGTTGTATATGTTATTTGCTTCATGTACAGCACTTTGTATGCAGTAATGGCTGTTTGAAAGTGCTCTACAAATACAGTTGAGTTGAGAGTTCAGTACAGAGACGAGA